TGACCCCTTTTCAACCACCTCAACGGATTGGCCTGAAAAATGTCAGGCTGCCAGCCCCCATTGGCCATAATATGTACCAGGCAGCAGCCGCTTCAGACTCCAGCGAAGATCGGAGCCCGACCAGTCCACCATGTAGTCGGACCACAACCTCCCAACCGGTCGGGATACCGGGGTGCCATGACCCACAGCCATGTGTTGGTGTTGTGCCTTCTTTGGAGAAGAGAGCTCAGGGGACAGCCCCAACAACTCCTGGCGGTCGCGCCGCCCAAGGTTCTTAGTTCGGGTGAAAATCGGTACCAAAGTAGCAAATAGTGCTTATTTTTTTGTTCCAAGGTCTACTGTTTAGTGGACACATGTCAGGATTTTTGACAATCCACAAACTTGAATCCTCATGATATCACAGTTGCTTTGTCCCAGACGTGGACAACGGTGATGATTCACTTCGGATGTCCGTTTCCGCCAGAACCTTCTGCGCCAGGATGAGTGTGAGTGCAAGGGTTGCAATCAAATCATCCAGTATGATTCAATATGACCGATGACCCAATGGATCAATGTCACACAATAGCTTCTTCCTTGTTCACAGGTCTTGTTTTGTACTTGCCAATTATCATTGCCACCATTTGCCACCTTTGTCCCAACATGCACTTGATCACCACCAAACAATGAAGAGTCCTTGCCAGAAGGGATACATCCTCATCACGGTAGTCGAAGCCAATTTGGTGCAGCTAGCACAAGAACATAGACATGACATGACATGACCGTTTTCTTATTCTTTGCCGCTCAGGTCAACTATAGATGGCAGGATTCACCAGAATTCCCAACACCTTCTGTCGAATCATGTCAAAAACCAATCCATCCTGACTCGAACAACACATCCCTTGAACGTTCGCACCCAATCTGGCGCTGCTTGCGAGCAAAGGGCCCTTTGTTTAGGCCTCTTTGGCGCAAGCTATTGAACATGGCATATCAAAGGCCAGTGAGAATCCAATGGGTCAAACGCATTCACTTTCATAACAATGCATCAATGATCAATGAGAAACAGCCACATATAGCCACATAAGGCCGTGATACTGCCAGATCTTTTCGCCTGCAATTCTCTTGCAGCTTTGTTCCCGTCGTGCGGATGGGGTTAAGGCTTGTCACCGGAGGATCTTTAGGCCTGCCCGCGATTGAGCCGACCCCACGATGTTCCGATCGGTGTCCCACGCGAAGCTCAGCTTCGCTCCGCTCATCAAAGCCAACCTGGAGGCCGAAGCGACGAATCATCAGTGTTCCAGTCAAACACCGCCGAACTTGCCATGGGCTGGTTTTTTTGGATGGCCCAACCAGTGGCTTTGATGCAGGCACTCTCTCGGCCATGAAATTGGTTTGATGTTTTTTGGGGCGAAACACCCACTGCAGACTACAGCAGCCCTACAGCAGCCCTGCAGCCCTGCATGGAATGTTCAGGCATGATGATTTCCTCCAATGTTTGCGAACGAACGAGAATGATTGAGAGTTGTCTTGGGATTCCGATCTCTCTTTTTTTCTGCCTGAAGCCACAAGATGTGGCGCGGTGGAGTGTAGCATCGAACGGTGAGAAGGTACGATATACCACGCATCGAACGGTGACTCATTGAGAGAACACATCGCAAAGATGACTAACGTTGCTAAAGAGGTGAGGACTTCAGACAATCATTGGGCTAGCGTCGCCACCTTTTTTGTGTGTTTTTTTTCTCTCTCTCTCTCTCTCTGTCTCTCTGTCTCTTTCTCTTTCTCTTTGGTCTTCTAAAACAATGAAAGTACTGGTTTGGATAGGTTGGGCCACTTTTAGATGATAAACATGGACCAGTGGACCACAAAAGTAGCGGGCTCTATAGACAGCTAGGCTCCTGACTTCCCTGTAAAGCTACTTCAGGCTACTTGATTGCTTGGCAGATGATGTAGACACTTCACCATGACAGACGATCATGTCCTGCGTACTGCGCACAGCCTTGTCAGCCGTATGGGCGCTCGCGGTTCTTTTCAATCAGTGTCCCAAGTGACCAGATACAAACCCCTTGGGAGTCTCTGGCAAGGAGATTCACTCGGGAGTATCATTTCGTCCTGTGTGTTCATCCTTGGCACTTGTACGCCATGGAAGTTTCCATCTGGAAGCGAAGACTCTTTCGAGGTTTGTGTTGAGCCTTCATCTGAATATCAGTGATGAGGTATTTAGGACTGCATGATACACAAGCAAGTCCGAAGACAAGCAGTCAGACGATGGTGCAACGCTGGACTGGTACCCGCTGAGCAGATTTTTGCTGGTCAGTTGTGTTTTGGCAACGTATCGTTTGGCAACGGTCAACCCCGGTTTGATGTGTGAGAACCTCGCATGCAGTGTAGAATCAGGGATTCTGGGGCGGGGGAACAAACATCTGCCATGCCAGAAAAAGGCGGTCGGGCCAGTGGCTCCAGGTCACTGATCCTGGCAACCGGGAGCTTTTGCCCCACAAGTCACACGATGTTTCATACTGGCATGGCTAATTTGTATTTATTTTTGTTTGTTTGCTTGTTCCCACTGGTCGCCATCTATTTCGGTGTACACATTCTATTCCGTCAATCTCTTGGTCACTTCGATTGGCTCTCTTTCTCTTTCTCTCTCTCTTCGTGACCGTGCCTGGATGACTGGGATCCTTTCAGGTTAAACATACCTGGCAGGATCCCTGGAAGGGACGTGCCGATCAGGGCAACAATATACCGGCCGGCGATGGCCATGCAGCAACGCCCCAAGCTGGTGTGGGTGAGACTCGTAAGGAGCACCCAGGTAAGCCCCCATCCAGTCCGCAGGACCGATTCAAAAGGCCTTTCAGCCTTGGAAAAGGTCCGGTTTCGAAAGAGGAATCTTCAGAATCACCTCCAGCCTTGCCAATTCTTTGCCATATTGGATGTGAAAAGCTTTGTACTTTTGTGATCTTCCAAGCATGCGTTTGGATGGCGGCTGCTTGCTTTGCCTTTTCTCGCGAAGTTCGGGCTGGGGCTGCTTCCGAAAACGGACGTAGCTGACCACCGTGAGTGCACAGACCTAGCACAGAGAGGAGTCCCACGCCAGTGGTTGGCGCTGCACGTCATTCTGATGTTTCCATGTTTTTGTGGAGTCCCCCTACCTGACCAATCGATTACCGGTATGCATGGGTACAGCATGGTACCGCTCTTGATTTCACAAGACGCAACATCATAGCGTGGGGCTCCTTTGCGGACGCTCTCTCCAACTGGATACCGAGGGTATGGGACCGAACGAACAGAGGGAATGAATGTGCCTCGAACTGCCAGGAACCAAGTGAGTCATTCCACGTGCACGGTGTTCACTGAGTTCTTTGGGAAACCCTACCTCCAACAATCAAGGAAGTGGAGCGAAAACCACCATGCTTGATATTGAAAAGAAATCGTTGTCCCTTTGGGGCCATGGTCCACGTCCATGATTGTTGAAGTGGGAACCTTGTACTTCTGGGCCCCTGCACTGTCTGTGTTCTTCGCACCGAGGCAAGATACTTGGCCTCTCGTCATGATGGGCTAACCGTCCTTCGTGCAGGTGCGTAAACGCATGAATTGGGCTCACAGCTGGCTTAGAGTCTATTTGTTTGGCTCGTACATGCAGCTTATTATAGTTTTTTTTTCTTTTTTTACAATAGTAAAAACATGTATATAAATATGATATATAGGCAATACTTTTACATACTTCTGCAACTACTTCTTGAAGTGCGCAATGCCACAACTCCATTCAGCTTGGATGCACGTGTTTGGGTTGAAACAATACGCCTGTCACTGAACCTTGCGTTAATCAGACCCTCTTGGCGCTTTGGGGTCGTCGGAGGTTTCATCCAGTTCCGACTCTCGCGAAGCTGCTGTACAACACCTAGAAGCTTGGAAGAAAGAAGATTGTCGCGGTGGTCCAATTGGCCAGCAGGAAGTCCATGGAAGTACTCTCCCTGGAACTAACCTGTTCGTATAGTGGTCTTCCAAGTGTCCATTGTCCGCTTCCATCTCGGTTCCAGGGAATAGATGGGAATAGACATGAATAGACTACAACTGCCTGACCGGTTTTGGGGAATGTGGAGGAACGAGCTTGGACAATTCGTATAGATCCTTTCCGCGATCCACCCTCTTGTAAAGGGATTGCAGATTGCAGCCAGCCAGCCGGTCCATGGATCCCCAGCTTCCGGACCGAGCAGCTCTTCGCCCAGGCAACGAATGGCAGCATCACATACCGAGTCAACTGCAATGGACGATCCGTGAAAAAAGTGCGCTCTCTGAGCACCGTTTCCTGCGGGTTCCGTCGCGGTCGTTCTGGTGATAGGGTGATGCACCCGGTTCTTCAGCAGGAAGCAAGCTTTGGAATGCTTGAGACGCCCCAGAAAACCGAACCAGGCCAGGCCTAAGAAGTTCCACTGCCAAGAGGCCCCGCACGTTTTTGTCTATTTCTTTTCAACCGTTCTTAGTCCAATTCACCTCAGGATTGATGTCCAACTTCTTGTTACATGTCGATGCTCAAGGCCGCCAGGCCAGGCAGCCCCAGTGCAGGCATATTCAAACTTCAAACCAATCCAAAAAAGTACAAGATTACCCATGTGGCATGTGCATATATGGGTGTGTCCAAAACTAAGGCATTTTTTTGGTGAAAAAACATCAAAAGACACCACAATCAAAACACATGCCCGAAATCGTAAGGGTTGCAAACAAGTCGACGCCGTTTGGACACCCGCCGTTTCTTTTTTTCTCACTTCGCCACAACAACATTTGGTCGTTTTCCACCTTGTCACAGCAAAGAAAACCGCCGTCCGTTGGAAAAAAAACATGTTGTATATAATCGGCAAGTTTTATTTTTCTGAAAACAACACCGATTATTTGTGCCTTTACAGCGCCTTTAACAAAAGTCATGTTGTTCCAAAATCTCGAATGCTACTCTACGCTCCATCCAAGCCTTCAAAATCCTGGTGAAAGGAAACGCCGGCTAGAAACTAGAAACCCCGACTTGTTGCCGAAAGTGGGCCAAAAGACTTCCCGGCCTTCTCGGCCCATGTGACACCCCTCGGAACGCGCTTTGGCGCTCGTCCTTCATGGATGGCTTTGGGCCGTTGGCGGCCGGGCAGCCGGACTGCACCGTCACGGCGGAGGCCGGGTGCGAAGGAGCCGACATGGCAGGGGTTCGTGAAACGGGGTGCACCAATAATTCCTTAGGCCTTAGAGGTGATTCGGGGGATTGCATGAACCACCCTGGTATGGGGGCCCTGGTATGTTGATGTATTTCTATATTCACAGAGATGAGCTGGAAAGACATTAGCAGTCATTAACACGTGGACCGTCGGATGTGGGCCCCAACTGAGTGAACAGCTTGAAACAAGAAATCAGTTGGCGCATGGATCAACTCTCCAGCTGGATCAACATGTTGAATCGAATGCCCACACTTTCGAAGCTAAACACCATCGGATCAGGTCATTGGTCAGGACAAGAACATGCACGGCCGAACAATGGCCATGCAAGGCGTCACTTCCTGAAAAGGCGGCGCAAAGACTTGCGATGTGGCAAGGTCGGACCCTCAGGTGGACAAGTCTTCGAACTCAGATTCGTCCTTTGAAATGGATGTGGCAAACATGTCTCGCCTTGCTAGGCGGCTAAAGGGTTGCATGCTCCTTGCCTGTGCATCCACGTCATGCCTGTGCTAAAGGGTTGCAAGCTCGCTTCCTGTTATCTCTACTGGCCCCACCGGCTCTGCATGGTCTTTCGTCCTTTGCACGTGAAGAAAAACCAACCGCTGGTCCACCAGATCTCGACATCCTGAACGAACGAACGAACCGAACGAACAACGAAGACGGCGCCGGAAGTCGGAAGTCGGAACACACCCCTTCTCGGCGCCGATCCTCCGCGCGCGGAGCGGCGCGGAGGATCTCGAATGAATGTCAGGTCAAGGATGCCAACTGAAGTTTCTCCAAACGAACCAAATGAATGTGCAAGCGTGAGCTATCCTGCACCCATGCTAGTTTCTAGCTACCTACTACCTTGCTACTATACCTCTACCTCTACCTACCCCCTACGATCAGTTGGATCGTCACCTCGTGTCCAGGACACGACGACGTCACAGGAGGTCGATCCGGCGATCACGGTTACGCCAGCGATCCCAGCGGAGCGAGTGGGTGGGGTACAGGCGGAGCAAGAGATGCAAGAGACTGAACCTTTCAGCCCTGTCAATATAGAAGAGTCAAGCTATGTCAAGCTATGTCAATGCCAAAAGGGTCATATTGAAGAGTGATGATAGTGATGAATATATTTCCAGCTCCTGACTCGGATGCGATGTGGGATTCTTCGGCTTTCTATGTCTTTGTCTGCGGCACTTGCAAGTCCATGACCCGACGTGAAGAATGAAGAATGCTCTTTGGATATTTTTTTTGGATCTTTTCCCAGACCATCCATGTATGACATATGTAACCTACATCGGAATGGTTTTGGGGGCGACCCTTCGGTCTGCATATGTAGGCATACATGGTCATGGATGGTCTAGGTTTTGACATGATTTCGCTGGCTTCTTCTTCGATGTGCTAGGCTATGTTTGTATGATTGAAGGTCCATGTTTGGACAGTGGTATTAGCCATTGATTAGTTAGTCGTGAGATCGAAGCTGAGGTCTTGAGTGGTTGAGATTTCTAGTTTTTGTCAGCTATCATGATGATTCAAGGGTGATCATGGAGAGTGCATGGTCAGTTAGGTCTAATCTTACTCTAACTTGGTTTTGAGACAATAAAGGCAACACAAAATATGTGGCATGACACAGTCGGCCGATCGATCGCTTTCTCCGGGCTTCGGCCGGTAAGGCAGCGAAATATCGCCTTAGAGGCCCGCGCGGGATCCCGGCACCGGAGAATTCCACAAGCTGCAACATTGGTGATCTCGCATTGGTGATCTCGGTGGTGAAGAGTGTTATATGAGCAATCGCCTAAACGTGCAATGACTAATTTAGTAAGGAGCGGTCGTGATTTTCAGGAATTGGGCTAAAACCTGCAAAAGCGATGCGCCCCTCTGAAAAGTGATAAGCATATTCCCGCAGTTTTTAGATATGTTCAGCTATGTTGGCATTGTGTCCAAAACCTGCAAAAGTGATAGGCCCCCCTCAAAAGTGATAGGCCCTTGCTGAATATCATCTACTCGACAGTACGTTGGCATGGCAGACGCTCAGACTCGTCACTGCATTCATGTGGACTGCTAGATGAAGCATCGATACATGGAAGATGTTTCACCACCCAGGTCCAGAGATGTTTCATAAATGGCTTTTGTGTAGATATATATATATACACACACCAGGGCCCCCGGGCCAGGGGTGTCTAATTATAGCTCCTTAGAGGTGATTCGGGGTATCCATTCACCACCCCTTAGGGGGGCCTGGTAGTGGTTCCCAACTAGAAACGGCTTCCAATACATTCTTAGATGGGATCGTTTTTTCTATCTATTTGGGGGTCTATATCTGTTTTAATAGATCAACGCATGCAGACAACATTGGACTTGGTCCACGGGCTTCAGCAACCCGAGCGTTGTTTTGCAGCGATCCTGTCAATGTCATATGTGTGGATATGTGTGGCATGTGGTTCGACGGACCAGCGACTGGAATTCATAGGGGTTTGGACCCTCAAAACTTTCCATTTGAGGGCCCAGATTCTTAGGGCAGAAAGAATCGCCAGTCGAGCATCGATGATCTGAAGACCAATACCAGGCGGTTCGTGTTGGGAACTACTATGCTGAAGACCAAGAAGAGGTCCTGCGATACATTGCCGAGGCGCCGCTGGAATTCAGAGACTTTGGGACTTCGCACATGAGTTCATTGGCGAATCCACCTACCCTCGGAGTCCAAGACTATCTAAACTATGGAGTTTGGGTGACCTGAAAAGGAACTTCCTTCACTTCCAGTGAGAGCAACATATCGTCGAACTGGACTTCTATCGACAAATTAACAACGGAACCCGTTGTGACATTGTGCTAATGACTAAGACTATGAAGCAAGACTATGAGCATGAAGATCATTTTTTCCGGAGTCATCTCCTTGTTTGGGCGAACGGGTTTGCCACGCCGAACGGCAGCTGACGGTTCGCTGCTCGGGACCGACTCCCACCACCAGGTCCATGCCGGTCTTCTCGCTGACCACGAATGGCTCCGGAAGAACGCCCGCAAGCTTCGCCAGGAGAATGGGCTGACAAGGCCGGGAGGGAAGATGGGCATCAAAAAGGGCACCTTACCAACAAGGCCTTGCCAGGAGCCCCTAGGCACTAGCTTTCTGTGACTAGGCCTTGCCAGTGGACTGAGGTTTTCAACCAGTGGACTGAGGTTCCGATTGCCCCATCTGGGTCGAAGCTGGTTGTCCAACCTGAGGCCTATCGCGGCTAATTCAACTCCTAAGGCTCCTGAGGTCGACCTTCAACTCTCGAAGTCCACTCCATTCCAGTCCCTGGAATCATGGAAAGTGGGATAACAAAACATGGTTTGGTCTTCGGAAGAGGGTCGTTCAAGGTGCCAGGCTGCCATCCACTTGCCACTTCCATGACTGCCACTTCCGTTTTGAGTGCAGGTGTTGAGTCCCGGCTGCCAGAGCCGAGCAATCCAGACACACATGTCATGACAGTCATTCCCTGTCATTGCTACTCTGGAGAAGAGAAATGCATAGAAATGCAGACAAAATTATGACAAAAACAGTCTGGTGATCTCTGGTATAATTTGGCATAATAATGCAATATATATAGCATACAATAATTAGTTGGGTCATGTTGGGTCATCCAACTGGTGTCCAATGGACTACCCTACACTGCTATAGACTGGACCTTGAGACAGGATGATCCTGGTAGTTGGTGACAGTTGGGACTTGGATACAATATTTCCTTTCAAGAACGGACGATGAGTCCAGCCAGGCGTTATTCCGTTCCGGAGATCCTTGCCAAACAGCACGAGGCAGCTGACCGGCAGACTGAGAGAGTCTGGATGGAATGAGCAAGAATTAGAGCCGACAAACATGGTATCGGAAACGACGGTGATGCGGGACCCATGCAGCTTTGACAGGTACACAGCAGGTGATCCACGAACCACAATAGCAACATATTTGCTGGATGTGGCACTTTGCAGACTCCAGGTGCAGAGACCTGTGCTCTACAGTGTACTCTACAGGTTCTTTCATAGGTCGATGACCATTCTTCTCTTTGGACCCGCGTGCGACGTCTGGTCCATGCGACAGCATTCCGTTCTCCACATCACAAAGGAAGAAGAAGCGCCCGCCCAGAGCTTTCAGTCACGAAGTCGAGCGGAAAGCGACGCCTATCACGACGGTTTTGTTTTTTCTTTTCTTTTTCCGAGAGTTCGAGCGTAGTGCAGCGCGAGCGGGGGGCGGACTATTTTATGTGATAGCAACAGTCCCGTCCTTTGTGAGGCTGATGGTTTTGATGTGTTCGTGGATCCAGAGGAAGCACTTCTCATGGCGGAGCGAGCTGCCAAGGTGAGAAGTGGTGAGTAGCAGGGGTCGGATGGGGGGGAGTGAGCTTTCTATGGATTATGGCTATGGCTATACACATTTGGTCTCAATCCCTTCAATGGTCCAGCAATGGTTTTTGTGATGTGTTGTGCTTTCGTTCCAGTTATATAAAGAGATGGACCTTCTGGCTGCCGAGTCAATGAGGCCTATGGTGGGGGGTTCGTTCACACCAAATCTTAGAGGTTTGGGAGACAGCCACTTCAAACGATCTGCTCGACTGCTCGGACTTCCCGCCACCCATCATTTGTCTGGATTTGGTTCTATGTATTATGTATCATTGTGTATTTATACTTTTTTATATGCTATCCTTATGGATTTGGATAGTATACCTGGATCCAATGGATCACGTACAACAGAACATGGGACATGACCCGTGCCCAAAAATACCTGGACCGTCCAATGGGTGTCCTGTTTGGAGATACCTAGTTGGTGTTGGGTACTCCATTGGACAGTCATTGGATGGTCCTGGTATTTTCATGTAATTTCCGAGATACTTTCAGACTCCAGTGTACTCCATCTATAGGTATTTTTTTGGTCTTTAGACCATGAGTCATGACACCGGAGTCCTCGCCCCATCAGTTTCCAATAGTTTCCGGACTGAGTCACCTGGGAACCCGTGCGTTCCATGACCATCATGACCGGGAACCCATGCGTTTCACCTCATGTTCAGCGACTTCCCATAGAATTAGGCTTCCTCCCCCAACCCCAAATCATCCAACTCCTTAAACGTCCCATCCGGTGCAAACCAAACGGTGCTGTTCGGAGGTACCGGCCGCGACCGGGTCGGCCGTTCGTCCGAGGACTCCGAGTGGTCGCGGGTCACGCGACCCGAGTGACGACCCGAGCCAACGCTCCAGCGGCGACCCGCATCGTCGGCGGTGGGAACAGGTGGCCAAAAGGGATAAACAAGGTGGAAGACCTGGGAAGGATGACCCAGGTGTCCAATAGAGACTACTGAGAGACCTCCAGCCACACCCAGAACAGGAGGATCCTGGATTTTTCATGACTCTTCCACAAACTGAGTGAAGTGACTTCAACACTTGTCGTCGAACAGGATGCTCCTCCCACACATCGCCGAACCCTTTTCTTCCATACAATCGACCACAAAAGGGGGCACCTATAGTGCGTATAGTGGGTGTTTCATGGTTTTTCATAGATGTGGCAGTCTAAGACTGTTTCATGTGTCTTTTCTGAAAATGGTGGCAACATCGCCGCACTGGCCGAAAAAAAGAAGACACAAACACGTCCTTGTTGGAAGCTCTGCATCATCGCCCCACTATTCATCACTCCGGCGTTCATCATCGCACCGTTGCCCTGAGGTTGTCAACGGCCGAGGCGGAAGAGATTCAAGAGGCGATGAGCATTGGGATAGGATAGAAAGTGGATAGAACGTGGAGCTGAAAGATATTTTAGCCATCGACTCCTTTTGAGCGAGACCAGCACCATGGTACCCGACCTTCACTACTCGTAGCAGACCTTCACCACAAGACTCAGCAATAGATGAGTTCACATCAGATCAGATGAGTTCGTGTGCTAAAATCTCTATCGGCTATCGGCTATCATTTAGTTGATTTAGCATCGGATTAGCGTTTAGCTGCGAGGTTCGGGTGCTTAATTTAATAGGTCTTGAAGAACCACCGACTCTCCATGATTTTGTTTTGTAAAAAGAGACAAAAACGCCGAACCAGGCTCACCGTCCCACTGTCAACAAGTCCCACCCAGTCGCCGGCATTTGGTCGCGGTGTCGCCGTCCGTGCTTGGACCTTCCGTGGCCGCGCATCGTGTGGTCTGCCGGTCCAGGGACCTCCGCTGCTCCGGGAAAAAGGTGCAGTGCCCCAACCACTCAGGGCCCCACCCGTGGCCCTGGCAATACATGGCCCAGATATGCCCAGACAGGACCTGTTTGGGACTGTCATATTTGTAAATTTGTAATTATAGAAAAACGGGTGGTTGAAAACGGGTCAATCTATAGGCACAGGCATATACACACTTGGATCCATTTGGGTCTCAGAATTGGTTTTGAGGGAGCATCTACCGGAAACGCATGATTTTGGGGGTCGAAAACCATGGGTTTCACTGTTAGATCTTCCCTTCAACACATCTATTGATTGGGAGATCATGCGAGAAGCGACCTTCTTCAGCCAACGGAGTCAGTTTCCAAATCAACTACATTCTTCATATTGCCCTGAGCCCAGATTTGTTTCGATCTGTTTTGTCTCCTTTTGGGGGTGCGTCATGGCGCGTGAAAAGGTGAAAAGGGCGACCGGTGGAATTCAAACAGATGTATGATGTATATAATAGATTAAATGTATGTAGGACTGTACGACCTTTTTGGAGTCGGTGAGAAAAGACATGAACCACTGAGTTCCATGTGGGGATGGCAACTTAAGGCTGTTTTTAGACCCTAAGTGAGTCAATGGGCACCCCTACCTTACTTCCAGGTTGGCACCCTGGCATGGAACTGCTGGAATGATCCATTTCTTGGGTCACACAGAACATGCCCCCAAAGACGACACCATGAGTTGGGTCAGGCATCTTTGTTCCAACCACGGGGCATCCGTCACCCGGTTCATGGGAACTGTGACGCGCCGTGCGGCCGTTGCGAGGGAGTTCATCCCCGGCAGGGCATCGGGTTCGTGATCGCCACAGCAGCGGGTGGAAGTCCAATCGGAGTCGAGGAGGCGGACGTGAACATCCGGTGTGGGAGGAGGAGATGCGGGTCGGGGCACACCCGGTGGGCCGCCCCAAAAAGGGGCGACCCGGAACCTGAACCAACTGCTACATATTTGAGGTCCGAACCCTAGGTTGTGAGAGGTTTTGAGGGTCAAAACATGGCAATAGCTATGCGGGTCCAATGAGCCTTCGGGCGGCATATGTGTGCCGTGGTTTCTCTTGCTTGGATCTCGCCCTGGTGGAGATCGTGTTTTTCAGGTTGTGGGAGAGTTTTGATTTGAAACACATGTCGATGTAAATCATGATCTGACGAACCAAAATTGGTTTCGTCCCTCCTTTCCCCAGTCTCATTCCCGAAGTCCTGGACATGCCATCCCCCAGTTGTTCAAGCCAAACACCTGGATTCCATGGCCAATGATACTCAATGACTCAATGATACTCAATGACCCATGGCTCCATGAGGCACCAGTGAACCTTTTATTTTGGTTGAAAGTTGAAAGGACCTGAAACCAACACCTCAGCGAGGTGCTCGAGCTCTTGGATCGCTCCGTGGCTGGCGGAGAGGCCGTCCACGCCGTCGCCGCGGTGGCTTTTGGGTGCTTCGTGGCCGCCATTGGTTCAGTCACTCCCCACCGAAGGAAAGCCGTGGTTTCTTTGTGTTTGTGCTTTTGACAACTCTCAAGAACACGTAGCACAAGAAATGCTGCAAAACCATCAACATGTTTGTTTTGTAACATACTGTATAGTTCTTTCTTTAAAGACAAGGAGGAAAGCTTGCAAGGAGAAGTCGCTGTCGACTTGCCCAAGTTCCGAGTATTCACATGGTGGAAATATCATGAAATATCCAAAAGTCCAAAGGAGACAATTGACAAATTGAAGATACATCATATCACACAATATCACACAGAGACATCATGGAGACAGTTTGAGACGTCCTTTTTTGCTAACCACTGCCCTGAAGCAGACCATACTGGTAGCCGCTGTGAACATGTGAATATGCATGCATGCATGTGCATGCGTTCAGATATTGAAAGCCAATACGGCAATAGTTGGCACAAGTTCCACATGAGGCTACAAGATTTGTCCTTGCCGATAGGTCACTTTCCACTGTGGATCGTGGACCTTAGTTGAGTTTAGCCAGGTCAGGCTACAGTTACAGCAGTAGGATTTGAACCTTGCTCCTCGGCTAAAATGGTCCAACAAAAGAATACAACAAGAACTGGAACCGGTTTCACCTCTCCTTCTCCCATGTCTCCTCGTTGGCAGATTGGCGCGGCAGTCTATTTGGCGGAGCACTTGGAGGTTTTTGCGCGTTTTTGTGGCGTGGTAGACCCATGGACTGGTGACGGTCTACCCTTGGCATCACTTTGAGATGGATCAGCTGGACACACTGCAGCATGGAGGGACATAGCACTGATGGTTTGATGGTTGCATGCGAGCCTTTTCCCGTGTGGCAGCCACGACCTTGGGCTCAAGAGCCTCATTTTCGCCCCACAGTTTTGTGGCCTTTTCCTGTGGGATGAGCTCTTTGGGATATGCCTGTTGTATTGTGGCTGGGGTTGGCTTTGCTGTGAATTATTTGCCGGTGAAAGGCTGCGACTGTGGCGATGGAATCTTCTTCTCGGCTGTGATGTCATTGGGAATCCTGCTTGTTGGGCTATGCACAGGGATGTGTCTTGGAAGTCTTTCAGATCTGAAATCATCAAACGAAATATATATATATATAATATACCAGGACCATCCAAGAGGTGCCTATAAAACTGCCTATAAATAGCCTCTTAGAGGTAAAGGGGGTGTCGAAAAACCACCTGTTGGAAGGTCCTGGTATATATTATAATATATATATATCTGGTCCAACAAAGTGAGCGTCTCCAAGCCTTCAAGAGCGATCAAACCTTGTTTTTCACCGAGAGGCATTGATGTTAGGTCCTAGGTCCCAGGTAGGTGTGTAGTTTTCCATGACCTTTCAGATTGTATAAGTATTTGATTAATTGATCGCTGCTTAGCTGCTTGCACTCCAAGAGTCCTGAGGTTCTTGTGCGCCCCTGTCTTTGAACTTCCTCGCTTTGAGCCTTTAGCAGCTCTGGGCGGAGCCATTTGGATGCTAGGGAACCTCATGTGCCCAAAGATCATCCAGACCATTGGCCTTGGTCTGGGCTTAACCGTTTGGGATTTGACCAACATGCTGACAGGCTGGGTCACGGGCTATTTGGGCCTCTTGGGCTTGCCCAAAGATGTGGTGAAAGATCCAGGGATGAACCTCCTTGGAGTCAGTCTCGCCTCAGTGTCCTTGGTCTTCTTCTCGTTGGCCTCTGCATTTGATGCCTCAGGATCGTCCTCTTCGGATCTTCACGAAAAGAGTAGACAGCCGGCTCAGGGACCTGAGGATGAAGACGTAGATCTTGAAGAACAGAGAAGACGAAGCAAGCAGACGAATGAAAAGGCTACACCATCAAGAAAGGGCAGAACTCTGCAAGCACTGAGTGGATTACTGATGGCGTTGATAGCAGGTTGCCTATTTGGAACAACTTTTGATTTGCCGATGGAACTCCTTCACGGAGACTTCGGGCCACATCACAGCAAACAGATTCTTAACTATGTTTCCAGCCATTTCATTGGCATCTCATTGACTGCTTGGCTTGCTCTGATGATCTATGTCATGGTCAAGGGCAGGCAAAGCTACATCCCTTGCAAGTGCATCGTACCGGCAATCCTCTCGGGTGCTTTGTGGGGCATTGCACAGGTGGCATGGTTCCGCGCCAACATCGAGCTTGGCTTCTCTGTAGCATTCCCCATCATCGGCAGCTTGCCTGGCATCCTGGGTCTTGTCATTGGTGTGGTTTGCTTTCGAGAGCTTCAGGGTTGCCACAGTCGAATCTTCGCCCTACTAGGCCTCCTCCTGCGCGTGCCAGGGGTTGCACTCATTGCTCTCTCACATTAGAACATGTTGAAGCAGGCATGTCATGAGAGCAACAGGTGTGACAGCTGAAAGTGGCTGACAGTTTTGTGCCTGCATTGCAGTAGGCAGACTTCAGGCTTCGAACACCTGAACACATTTGTGTCGGCACTAGAGTGTCACAATTAATATTTATAAATGCTTTCAGCTTGCATGTAGAGCTCCCTGCTTCCGTTCGCCGGAAGCGGCTTTTCGATGACCAGGTAGCTTAGCCACATCCGTGGCGACTCCTGTAGCGCGTTGCGCAGCGTCCATAGCTGGATTGAGCCTTGTCGAAGGAGTGGAAAAGAGGTTTTGGAGACTGTGGAGACTGTGGACACATCACAGCAGCTGGAAAGGTGGTCGAGAGGATTGTGCCACTGGCCCATGAGTCCGAAGCTGCGGCTGCAGTGACAATCATAAACCATCCTGGAATCCAGGAAACCGCAGTAGTATGTATAATATTATATTATAGTATAATACGTAGGTCCTTGGCTTGTTGCCAAATGCCAAGTGAGCAGTATCAGTGCCCATTTTGGGGTGACATGTGATGCTCCTGAAAGGCTCGCCATGATGGCCAACCACCTCGCCCACTGGTTGAGAGGTTGTTCCAGGCGCGCAAAGAAGCCATGTGCCGAACAACATATGGGTGTGAGATGGTGTGAGTATTCAAACAAGGAGAACCCCCAACCGGGTTCTGGTTGATTTGTATTGGATCGGTGGATTTGTCCTGAAAACCGGTCTGACCGGGGGGACTTGCCACGACAGGAGATGGAGAGTGGGAGCTTCCATCAAGAGCATTTATTTGACATGCCAACAGTATATATTACTTCCATTTCTTCCTGTGGGTAACATAGACATACACAATATATAATATATATTAATTATTGTTACGTATAATTACACATATTATTAAGCAGTATACGGCAGTACGCAAAAGTATACATACAGATACTGGTAGAACTAAAGCTTGGGCTGAAACCCATGGGCTGACTTTCACTTTTGGCTTCACACATGCTTTCGAACATGCTTTTCGACGCTTCCCCAACAACTCGCTCGTCGGAGCGAGTCGGAGGTCCTCAAAGCATTGCTGCGGCCCAGTGCTGCAACTGTCAGACCAAAGCTGGTCGGTCATCCTAGTTGACCGTGTTGGACGACCGTGGGAGTTGGAAACACTTTAGTTCTGACATTCGTCAGCGCGAGGTTTTGGGATCCTTTTTTGTCCGAAGATATGCGGTGATTGGCATCCTTTTTTTGCGTGGCTAGGGTAGCCATTTGCCTCATGCCAAGCACCAAGATTTCGAATGGAGTCTCAAAAAGGCCTTGGTGAGGCGATGTTAAGATATTTCAAGTGATTTTTGGTCGGGGGAAGACGACAGAAAGGTGTTTGCTCGCCATGACTGTTTTGCAAGTCTTTGTCCCGAGGAAGGGCCGTGGCAGAAAGCTCCTCCTGGGCGATTTGGAGCGCCGGCAGACTCGGGAGACAAGTCGAATCGCCTGAGATCTCGGCATCGAAACAAAACCCTTGAGACTACTAGGACATTACTAGGGGCTCCTGGCATCGCTGCTAGGAGCAAGGACGTTGCTAAGACGCACCCCTGTCTCAGCACCAAAACCCTTGGATCTCTCCCTCTCTCTCTCTCTTTGTGCACAGGTACCAGTACCAGTTGTAAACTGCCTTTTGTAGGTCTTACTGCTAACTGCTACTTCCTTGCAGTTGGATTTTTGCCTTCGATTGATCATGATTGATTCTTTGCTGAAAGGAGTTTTTCATGCTGACGTGACGTCGGTTTGTGAGGTTAAACCCTCGGAAAAGCCTGGGGCGTTTGCTGGAGCGATTGGCACCTTTGCGAAGAGAGGCCGCCGGGATCCGCCGCGATCGGGCCGTCTCCGGGCGGGCGGAGAGGCCCAGCAGGCGTGGGGCGTTTGGGCTCAGCAGGCGGTTTCAGCCGTTTCTTCCCCTTGAACTCCAGGTCGCACAGGTAACTCTGTGGATACCCTGCGTGCGGGTCCGGGAAACACCGTCGCTGTGTGGTATCCGAGTGCTTAGTCAGCATTGTTTTTAACCTATCTTCCTGAAAAGATGTGGCAGAAAACTAGACAACCGTTGCCATTGCTTTCAGCATTCCATGGGGACTATTCATGCATTCTTCAGAATTCAGACTTTTCTCCAGGTGACTGGTAGCAATTCGCTCCACTTCGATCGAGAACATCGGTGATCTCCAGGAAAAGGACCTCGCCAAGGAGGGGACAGCCGAGGTGTTCCAGGTCCGCGCTGAAGTGCTGAAACCTCGCATCTTCTCAGATGGCAGTGGGTCAAACGCGGGGGCGGGGCCTGGAAGAGACTCGGAGAGACCCTTCGAACATTGACAGAGAATAGACGAATTCATGGTTCGACGAATTCCATTGGTAACACCGTCCCATTTTGGATTGTACAAGATCTGTTTTTAAAGGGGGGCTTAAGTCGGGTTTCATCATCAAGAGTCTACCAGACATAGTGAACCTACCAGGGTTTGGAGCTTCAGGTTTCGACTGGAAGCCCCAGCCCTTCGTCTCCTTTTGAACGGTTTCCAGTGGGCTTTCCGCCCCAGCCATTCATCCTCGGGTTGGAAGGTTTAGAATTCATGAGGGGCATTGAGAACACCAGAGCCACCTCTACATGTTGTCTCAAGCTGTGCTGTTGCCATCTTTTGATTGTAAATAGTTACATATACACCATATACAGTACATAGTTCAACTGAATACAACTCAATGTTACTTTCTATACAAATCATTGGTTCAGAACCTGCCACTCCAAAAGAAGCGGTTCAAATACCGGTCACTGAGCGCTCCGGGCGTCAGGCGATGGAACGGCTTTCGCAGAGTCTTTTGCCAGGGCTCCACAGTGATAGAAGATCCGTGTTGGACTCGGCCATGGGACTGGCATCGGAAACATCAGTAGAAACATCAATGAAAGCATTGACTTTCATTGGGGTGGTTTAAATGCCGTTCATGTAGAAATATATACATACACCAGCAGTCACAAAGGGCTGCTTAATGGAAGTTTGGGGTGCCCATTATCCACTCACTGCATAAGACTAAAAGCCACCCCGTCTTGTGACTCCTGGTATGACAATATAATACAATATAACTAATATATATATATATATAACACTAATATATATATATATAACTAATATACATATATATATAACTAATATATATATAACTTAATATATATAACTAATCTATATAATATATATATGACACACATACACACATATATATATATATAGTAAGTATCTTACTCCGGCACCTCGGCGCTTGTTCGGAGTGAAGGCGGACCGTTGGCATTCCTCGAGGATGTGGGTCGAGTTGTCGGGGTTCGGACTGGACAGATGAGAGAGGTCGGAGGATGTCGGAGATTGTCGGATGGTATGGGGCAAAGATGCAGTGTGGTGTTGAACATGTCCGTCGAAGAGGTGGTTTTTGGAGACAGCAACTGACATCGGCACGGCACAAGAGGGCAGCCGAGGCAGCAACCATTTTGTGAAGGTGTGGGAAGCATTTCACTGATCTCCGGAACACTCCGCGGTCTGCAGGCCTGCCCTACAGCGCATGGCCGATGGCTCACGTGGCCAACGCCGGGGGCAGATGGTTTGGTGGCCCAGACTATGGTGCATTGGAAGAATCATCCACCTTCGTCGAGTGCCGTTCATTTGTCGCCGATCCCCTTTTCATTGGACATAGATTTCGAAGGGGGGCACAAGCCAGGCTTGGAGAGTGTCTCATCAGTAGTCGGACGAGAGGGAGTACTCACTTATACGGTACTCCTTTTGGTAGAACTGCAGACACACACTTATCATTACTTATCACTTATGCCACTTGCAGTTGTGGCTCTTGTCCTAGGCTTGCGGAATGTTCGGAGTGCTATGGAGTGTTTAGCCATGCTTCACCTTAACGAGCAAAAATCAGGCACATTGAACTGGTGCCCATTCCTTCGGGTGAACTTGGAGACCTCGTATGAAACAAACCTGGACAAACAAAGCTCATCAAAGCTCTTGAAGGACTTGTGTTTGTTCTGCAAATCACACATTTGGATGTATCTTCTTGCTACTAGTAGTTCTGGACTTGTTACTAGTAGCGATGCCTTGTTACTAATAGCTTCTTGTTCCTAGTAGTAATGCCAGGAGCTACTATATAGTAGCGTCCTTGCTACAAATCAGATTTGTGGCATTTTATGCCCATGCCTGGCTGGGATCCACTGCCACCCTCGGTTCATCGATTGGGTAAGTTTCCGGGAGGCACGGACTGACCACCGGATCGTGGGCCGTGGATCGTTCGATCCGGTCGTGCAGCTGGCGACGGGCTGAGGCATCTCTCGTGACCCGTGTTTCTCAAGAGAATGGGCTCAGCATCAGTTCTGCATTGGCGCAGGTGGGAGCGAGCTATATGTGCTGATGCACTTTTTGTTTTTGCTGTATCGTATTCTTATAAATGTATCTGTATTAAGATGTATTAAGTATGTCACGCCCTTCTTGTGATATTGTTTTGCCTGTCCGAGATTCTGGCTCCAGGCGCTCCTGCAGCAGATGGAAACCCAAGGACTTCTTCAAATGAAAGGCGTGCGGCCTGTCTCACACCGCCGGTCATGTGAAAAGAGAAAAGAGAGACCTGGAGTCTCAGATCGTATCTGGAAAAAGGGGTACAAGTAGCTGCATTGAAAGGGTCATGTCCCATGTTCAAAGGTACTTGGGAGGGGTCCAGGTGCACAAAAAGCACCCAGGACTATCCTGTTTGGGTCATCTGGCTGGACTACCCTCCAGGTCACTATCCCGGATCTCCAGACAGGACACCCAGACAGGATGGTCCAGGCATATAAATTTCAGAGTGCATTGCATTTTTGGTCCCCAAAGGAAGATTTCTGTTACCCGTTCCTAAACAGCGGCAGACTCCTTCATGTCTGGTGTTGGTTGGTTTGGACAGACTCCTTTCTCCATCTGTCGGTGACGGGATTTGGGGAGACTCCAAAAGAATAGCAGTTGCAGTGGTGAAAACATGTTCACACTCAGGCTTCCAGAATTACTAATGTAGACTGTTGATCATATTTCAATCCCCCAGGCCTCTTCGTTCTACAATCCAAATAGCCGGGGTTGTTCATGAACTCCTGCACTATGGGACTGGAATATCTACAAACCAAGAGGGGTTTTGTAAAGACTACATTGTGAGAGGGGCTATTGATATCTATTGATCAACCGTTTACATGGTTCTTCTAAGTTCGGGCCAAACAGCAAACATTGCTTCGTCCTGCACTGGCTTTGTTGGCAGACGTCACGTGGGACCCGTTCCGTGAGGTCGTTGGGTGAGGTCGGCCGTTTCGTCCGTCAGGTCGAGACGTGATGTTGTCCAACACGGTCAAGGCATTGGAAGCCGTGGGGGTCGTTAGGTCGTTGTGGGTCGTCCAGCGCGTATTACAGACGTTCGCTTTCAGGCAGGAACCAACGATTTTTTGTGAGTTTAACATAGTTTAACCATGTTCTATCATGTTTGATCTACTTCAGCAAATGAATTGGAAAGGATGGCTAATTAATGAAAGTGATCACCACAGGCAGAAGAGCAAGAGCCTTTGCGGAGCTTCTACACAGACCTGCCGCTTTTGGAGGTCACTGAGTCAAGTGCTTGCATTCGTCAATGTTCATCATCACCCTACTGATGCTTGATCGAAAGATTGACCGGCAGCTGTTCTTTGTCTTGGTGGCAGCAAGTCTTTGCGACTGTTTGCATGAAGGCGCCGCGTTTCCTGCATATATTATCTTCATGGTGAAATCACGTTGGAGCTGAGCAACATGTCGTACATGTTTCCTGAGCCTGTGATGGGCTACATTGGTGACATGCGGTCTCCCAAAAATTGGTTCCGGTTCGCCGTTTCATTATTCGACATTGAACACAATGTGTCGTTCCCTCTCTTGCTGCGATCCTGAGCATTGTTCATATATTGTTCTATTATTTGTTTTGCATGCATCAAATATATTGGGGCGTTTGGTGGCCTTATACAATGACATTTTTCGTTTTCCTGCAGGAACTTCTTGGAAGGATGATATGGAACGACATTGGCTCAAATCAACTTGGACTCTTTCTCCAACCTTCTACCTGAGAGTGGTCCCCTCGGGAAGAGACTTGGCGCCCCGAGTCCCAACCTCCCCCAAGAATCAACCATGGGTCAATGGGTTCGGTGGACATCCTTTATGGAACGACATTGGTTCCTTTGAAAAGGGGTCAACCCGGGTGTCCTTCTTTTCACCCTTGAAACGTGATGAAACATCACAGGCTCATGCCAAGAAACGGCTGGAGCGGCGGAGACAGCGACAGCAGGCGCAACGTCGGGTCCTGTCGGTGAAGAGATGTGAGGAGTAGTGCTTCGATGCTAAGCCAGGATGACTGTACTCGCTTAGCAAATCATGTGGCCCACCGAGGTTGAAGATTTAGGTGGGAGCGACTTACTCCGACAGTGACGGTCCTACAGAGACACGTTCCAGTGTTTGTGCAAGGCTTTGCAGAATAAATCCCGCCAATAGTATCCTTTTCTGCATCCTCCGCACTCGATTGCAGAATAGTCCAAGAATACCTCACCACACCCCACATTGGACCCTATAAAGACTGCCCTGCCACTTCCGGAGGCCAGGGAAGCTGCCAAACGGCGCAAGAAGGAGAAAGGATGAGATGGCCGGTGCATCCGGCGAACCAAGGATCGCACGGCAAAGTCACCGTGACGAAGGGACGCACCTGACGTCGCGGCAAAACGCGCGACACCGCAGTGCCTTTGCACCGCTGTTTTTCACGATTGGATCGAGCAACCATGAGGTGTCGCCAATGTTTGCATATGTTGGCCGTGATGCTCCATGCCGCGTCGCAGCAATAGGCAAAATAGTGCAAGTAGATGAAGAGAGGCAAGCCATAGGCAAGCCAGTTCTTGCATCACTGCATATGATCACTGCTCATGTTCCTAGATGTTCCTCGATGTTCCTATCCAAAAGTTCCCACGTCCTCCAGATGCGTAAAGCATGGCAGGGTCAGCCATGGTAAAACATGGTAAAACAACATCACCCCTTTTGGAGATTGAACAACTTCCTAACATTTTCTTACTTTCACGCGGCTCATCGCGGCTCATTTGCCTGGCCGCTGTTTGGTGTGGCCACCATCTTCAGATGGCCTGAAACTCAGTGAATGGACCATGATGGGCAGATTGAACCAACCGCTAAGCTGCGAGAGACCGCTGAACTGCGCACCACAGACCTGTGTCCCAGTTCACCGCGATGGCCGCACGGGACCGTGGACGGAAGTCGTCTCACCCGACAGGTTTGCGGTCTTGATCTGGATCGCAGCACCGGCTCAGTCGGAAGATCCTCGGATGTTTTTCCCCAAACAGTTTACTGTTAGGGGTTCTCAATTCTTTCTTAAGATGTGTCCGCCCTTTGCGTCACTGCTGGTGTCCGCCCTTTTCCGCTGGCCATGTAGCGTTTCTATTCATTTGTCTCCCAGGTCTGTCACTGCTGGTGTCCGCCCT